AAAAAAATTAAGGATTCATGAAAGTCATCTAAAAAAAATGACAAAGCTAAAGAAATCTAGTCAAAAGAGTCTTTGAAAAAGATCATTCATAGCAATTTAAGCATTGTTTGTTCTGTTTGTACAGTCAGTTCCTCTGTATCTCTCCGAAATGGCGCCGCCAAGATACAGAGGCGCATTCAACAACGGCTTCCAATTCAGCATCGGAATCGGCTATCTATCGGCGAGTCTCATCAACTACGGCACAGAAAAGATCAAAGCCGGGTGGGGCTGGAGAATCTCGCTAGTCATGGCTGCAATCCCAGCCTCAGTCCTAACATTAGGCGCACTTTTCCTCCCAGAAACCCCCAACAGCATAATTCAGCGCAGCGAAAACCCGCAGACAGCGAAACTGATGCTGCAAAGAGTCCGAGGAACCGACGACGTGGAATCAGAATTCGACGACATTTTGAAAGCGAGCATCGTAGCTAAAACCATCGAACGCCCCTTTAAGAACATCGTACGGAGAAAGTACAGGCCCCAGTTGGTCATGTCAATAGCATTACCATTCTTCCAACAGGTCACGGGAATCAACGTCATAGCGTTCTACGCGCCGATACTTTTCCGAACAATGGGATTGGGCGAAGAAGCGTCGTTGTTGTCGGCGGTTATGACCGGTGCGGTCGGTACAGTGTCCACTTTCATCTCCATGCTTATAGTGGATAAGTTTGGAAGAAGAGCTCTTTTCATGGCCGGAGGAATTCAGATGTTCGTGTCCCAGATCATGGTGGGAGGAATAATGGCGGCGGAGCTCGGTGACCATGGAGGGATGACCAAAGGGTATGCTTTTTTAGTGCTGGTTCTGATAGGGGTGTACGTGGCGGGATTTGGTTGGTCGTGGGGACCGTTGGGGTGGTTGGTTCCGAGTGAGATTTTTCCGTTGGAGATTCGATCTGCCGGGCAGAGTATAACCGTTGTGGTGAACTTTGTGTTCACTTTTGTCGTTGCGCAGACTTTTTTGGCGATCCTTTGTCGTTTCAAGTCAGGGATTTTCTTCTTCTTTGGGGGTTGGGTGGTGGTGATGACGGGGTTTGTGTACTTGTTTTTACCGGAGACCAAGAATGTGCCTATTGAGAAGATGGAGAGGGTGTGGAGAAATCATTGGTTTTGGAAGAGATTTGTGGGCCAGGATGTTGACCAAATTTTAGATACCAAACTATCTGAGAATTTTGGGCAAAATTAATTTTTTTGTAGTTGTTTGATGTCACGCAACATAATGAAACCACATGTCTAAAATTTGGCAAGGGCGTTTTCCATTGATTATTATAAACTGAATTTTAGGGTAATGTATACTCAATATTTAAAATCTCTCACTTTGCACTTTAAATTTTGAGTAAGTCCCACTTAATTCCCTCTATTAGAATTATTGTTTAAATGACGCGGGTAACTCTTAAATTCCTCTCGCTTTATTCTTCAAAAATTGTCTCTTAAAACCATTATGTACATGAATTTTTTATTTGATTTTAAATTTAGAACTCATGGACGGTTAGATCAAAGTCGATATCTTTCCATTTCTCTTGTGTTTGGATTAGAGGAACTCATATGCATCATTCTCCAAG